TTGTGGGTCGGGTTGTAGCACCTATGTGGGGCGACAGATGGGTGCCAATGAAAATTCTTAACCCGACAATGAACCCTGTCACACTGCGTAGGAATACAAAGGTGGCAGATGTTTTTCCATGTGTTGCAGTGGAGGATCTTCATATCGCCCAGGGTGTGAGTAGGCCTCAGTCTGGCCTCAGTGGCTTCTGGCTACTCCTTCACCACCAACACCACTTCTTCCCCTTCACAGCGACTTGAGGCCTGTGACTTAGCTGACATTGACCTTGAGGGCTGTGATGTGTCATGTGAATGGAAGGAGAGACTAGCTGACCTTGTGCTTTCTTACCAGGATGTTTTATCAAAGGACAAGTTGGATTGTGGAGAAGCACAGGACTTCGCATTTGCATTCACCTTACTGAAGATCGCCCTTTCAGGCTGCCTTATCGCCGTATCCCTCCAGCCCGCTATCACAAATTGAGAGAGGTGCTGTCGGAGATGGAATTGAAAGGCATCATCAGTAAGTCTGTTAGTGAATATGCCTCACCACTGGTCCTGGTCTGGAAGAAGTCTGGGGATCTGAGGATTTGCACTTTAGACTTCCCTTGGCTTAATGCCAATACTGTCAAGGATGCTCACCCACTGCCAGGCTGACTGTCTTGCTGCACTAGGGGGAAATGCCTTTTTCAGCACCATGGACCTTACATTGGGGTTTTACAATATCCCCCTCCATGAGTCAGACAGAAAGTACACAGACTTTACAACACCTCTGTGCCTGTACAAATACAATTGGCTTCCCCAGGGCCTGTGCAACAGCCCTGCATCCTTTTAGGGGATGATGATCAGTGTCTTTGGTGATTTGGATTTCTCTAGTCTACTTTGTTACCTTGATGACTTACTGGTCTTCGCTCCTTCCGAAGATTAAGCCTTGAAACGACTTGAGACTTTCACGTCTCAGGGCTAGTAACCTCAAACTAGCACAGAAGAAGTGTCATTTCCTCCGAACGTCTGTGAGGTTTCTTGGTCATGTGGTTGACAGCAGTGGTGTGTGTTGATCAGGTGAAAGTGAATGTGACTGCCTTTAGGAAGGAAGACCTCATGAACAATGATGGCTGCACTCATCTCAGCGGAAAGTCAAGTCTTTTCACAGCATGGTGCTTTACTGCCACTTCATTCCTGGTTGTGCTGCCATTGCCAAGCTGCTCTACACTCTTACTGCAGGACAGAAGAGAAAGGCTAAAGGCTCCCTTGGTCGACGGAGAGCTGGCACTTTTCGTGCTGACCCCCGATGATTGGACTCCTGCATGTGATGGTGCTTTTGAGACTTTGAAGAATGCGCTCCTAAACAGTGTGGTGCTAGCACATCCCGACTTTGATAAGCCTTTTATCCTCTCTACCGATGCATCTCTTGATGGTCTGGGTGCTGTGCTTTCACAGGTGCAGGCTGGTGAGGAGAGAGCAAGGTCCATTGCTTTTGCCAGCAAATCCCTCTATGGTAGTCAAGCTAACTATCCAGCTCACAGGCTAGAATTTCTAACTCTCAAATGGGCTGTGTGTGATAAATTCAATCATTGGCTTAAGGGTCATAAGTTCACTGTGTGGTCAGATAATAATCCACTCACATATATACTGACCAAGCCGAAGCTTGATGCAGCTCTAAGTTATGTTACTTTTTCTCTCTTTTCTATACTCCAAGAACGATTACAGTAAACATATTGGAACGGTTTCGTTGCCTGGTCACATGACCGCACACCGAGGACAACACAGACTACCGTACAACCGAGCTAATCGGCTAACACAAGAAACACAATTATATCGCACAAAGGAAACGTAAAGTTTTACATATTCACTTCATTACATGTTACTCTATCTCATAACACCATTGAAACCAAATACTGACACCAACTTACCTGAAACATACAGAACATAGCCATCAGGCAACAGCACAGAATAACGTTCTTTCTCCGGCTCTAAGTTATGTTACTTTTACTCTATGGGCTGTAGTGCTATTAACCTATGCTTTGCATTTCTGTTGTACCGCTTCTACCTAGTGGACAAACTGGTGTAGTCACAAATATCCCAAACTGATTGCATGGTTCTGTATTACTATAACAGAAAACCCAGTGTTTGACCCCTTTTCTTGTCACCAATCAATCGTATTGTACTGAGGCCGCTACACTTACACTAAAATGCCTTTTAAAACATTTCAATAAAAATCCAAAGCTACCTGAAAGGATTCTTGGAGAATCCAAACGTTCTGGCACTTAGAGAAATTAATTATTTAATTAAAACTGCTTTGGATTGTCATCCGTTTTTACTTAACTGTGTTTTCAGTCTCTGATTAGAGATACATTTTACACGTGAACATTGAACAAAACATTTCTTCATTTTTCCAGTTGTTTATGTCAAAAACAATCTGAGTGGGCAGAACCAAATAAAAACAAAAAAAAATGTAAAATTAATTCAACCTGTATTGAATATTATGACTAAAATATGAAGTAAGACGTACCAACGGACCTGTGCAGTTAGAAACGTAATTGCTAATCACATTTATTTAAAGGTAAATATATGAATTAAAAGCCATTTGTGTAGCAAGTGTGTTAAAATAAAAACATTGCCCTATATGTGTGTTTATAGGACGAATAATTGGGTGATGTACAAAAACATAGCTTGTAAACCATCGGTTTACATCTGATATTAAGTGAAACTTTTCAAATGTGTTGTGTGTTAAAAAAACAACACTTAAAATTATTGATGAAGTGAATTAGAATCGGTGACGAGGAGAGTAAATAAATCCAGAAGAGCTTAAAAGTTCAAATGTTTTAACATTCTATTCACTTACTGTTGTGAAATATGTGACATTTTCACTTTCACTTTCTGTACAATGAGGAAAAAATGATTTTCTTTTTTTTATTATTTTAGGCCTGCAGTGAGTCATGACCTGAGCACTGATATGTCCCAATGCTTCTCAGACTCACCACAGACCCTTATCTGTCACACACTTTTAAATGCACTTGCTTCTGAATTTGTCAGGATGGGACTTGTGATCCGAGGTGCCTGCTGGGACTTGGCTTGCCTGTAGATATTCTTTATGGGAGTGAGGGGCATGTCATGCGTGACATATGTACTATATACAGTATATGGTGAGCATTTAATTGATGTAGGATACCTCAGTTAGACACAGGAGGGCCCTGTTGTTGTTGTTGTTCTACTGTTGATAACAGTGTAGGGAGGTTCGTTAAGGGTAAGTACGTTTATACGTTAATCATCCTCATCCTTCTGAGAGTACGCATACTAATAAAAATCTCATCCACTGAGCCCAATAATTGTAAAATCTCACTATGCCTCAAGCCAAGCATAAAGTACAATTCAACTGAATCGTGTAAACGAGCCATATTCTTGGCTCGCAGGTGGACTTTCATTAATTTCAATTTTATTTATAGAGCGCATTTCATGCACAAAGCAAACTCAGTGTGCTTTACAGACATCACGTTGTTACGTGAAATGTACCACGAAATACACTGGTCCCTCTCCTATCGCAGTTGTTGCTTTTCAAAACCCAAGAAATGGGAAAATTCGCGAAGTAGAGTCGAGATAGTTATTTATGATTCACGTATATACGTATTTACCATTCACGAACCCCCCTACACTGTTATCAACAACAGAACAACAACAGCAACAGTGCCTTCCTGTACCCTACATTAATTAAATGCTCACCATATATACAGTATATATGTCACGCATGATATGCCGGTATCATAGATTTCCCAACCGTACGTACTGTACATGATTGTTTGTTATTTTAATGTATTACCCTGTATGTATGTGTAGCAAAATGTCTTAGATATACTTTCTCGTGCTCACAAGAAAGTATCTCGTGAGCACGAGAAAGTAGCTAGTGCGCACGAGATACGTTTTTCTTTTTTCCCCCCATGTCCCTTTAGGGTCTCCGTAGAAATTAAAACATTTTAATGCCGAACCATGATAAAGAGAGGGGCCACTGTAACGTGAAACTTTTCACGAAATATGTAATAATAATGGATTATACGTCATGAAAGAAAGAAAAACCCTAGGGGCATACTCACAGGAAGCACAACTGCCTGTGCTTAACCTAGGGTTTATTTTTTTCCCATTTCCCTTTAGGGGCTCCGTACCATCTCGACATAAAATAATATATTCATTACACTTAACCAGAAATAGACTAAAGTTAGCCTTAGCTTAGCTGAATAGCAACATTTATAGAAAAATAATGTGAAAATATAATTAAATAAGAACGCGGCTTGAACCTTTGCTGTGAAAACATTAAACTCGGCCCTAACACTGTTAAAGGTTAGCATGGGAAATAATTGATGTCACACACTACAGGTTTGCTTTTGTAACGGAACACAACTTAAATAGACACAGCATTTGACAGCAAAATTATACCATCTATAATATTTCCTTATAAATTTACCTCCTGTGAATAAACTACTAAAAACAACATTAACTTTCATGTTTCAAGACACATCTCATGTTTTCTTTTTTATTTTACCTATGTCCTTTAGATGGCGCCCTTGTCTTGATTAATACATTGTCTGCTACGGCCGATTCATAAATAAACGTCATTCACAAGTAGTTTACAACCGTAACAAGGTCAAACTTCTTTATTTGGTAACGATACAGTTAAATTGAGAGTGTTAGCACCGTTTATTATACTCAAAACTAGTGAAAAAAGTTTAACTTTTATATTTGTTCCTTTAACTTTTTTAACGTGTATTAATACATTAAACTGTTATATTTTAACTCTAATAGTTATACAAAAATAAATAAAAAAATACAGTAGTGTCTTAAACACTAGAGTAAACATAAGGATTGAGCTTCAATCACCAGTATTGATTTCGGTGTTTGTTTACTTCGTTCTTCCTGGCCACGTGTTTGCAGCACTGCCGCGCATGCGCGCTACACGTTGTTGGTTTTTGGCACGTGTCAATGTCGGTGGCGCGCTCAGTCAAAAACAAGCAGCTGCTCGGGTGCGCGCATTTTAAAGTGTGGTCGCAGCCTGATTCGATTTTATTTTTAAGCGCCACCCTCCCTGTCAGCGGATTGGTAGGATGCAGATCCTTCTTCTCATGGATTGGTCGCTATTTGTAGACCTGGTTGTGTAGCTAGGCTACTGCTGCCTGTACGTGTTCCTGAAACCTTTGTGTCAAAGTGAAAGAAAGAGCACTAGTGTTTAAAAATCGGAGAGATGCAGATTATTGAGAAACATTACTTAGCGACTGTGTGTAGCGAGATATACTATGGAATACACTGAAAGTTTGAGCAGTCGCCGACCAACAAAACGTCTACAATTTCAACACGGTTGTTTTTATCTCTTCCTGTCTAGCATAAATGAACGATGTATTAAATACACGTTGACTACGTAACTCATTAAACGTTTAACTGGAAAATTGCATTTCACATTTTAATATGACATGCATTTGTAAAGTACGTTCACACACATCATTGCCTCTAATTCCAACTAATAGTAAAAACAACAGTTCTAATATGTTATGGCTAAAAAGAAAGTTGATTTTTAAACAGCATTTTACTCACTGTTACCCCTAGGTATGTTTCATCAGTTGAACTGGATGATAGCTATTTGTGGTTTTAATGTTTAACATTTTGGACAACTCATTCCTTTGTCATATCTGGTACACCTTTTTTTATATTATTGTTACTTCTTGTTCTTTCTGCTCCGTTTCCTCATCATGCTTTCAGAGGCATAATCAGTGAAGATGTAGCTTTCGGTAGTACTTTGTTGTTGTATAGCCTAGAAACTGTTCACTATTCTCTGTGTCATTAAAATTACGTATTAGATGTTAGAAATATTTTATATTTATAAAAATCATTTTCACCTGAATCGCCAATATCTTAAAAATCGTGTATTGCTTTTCATTCAGTCTTTTTTTTTTTTTTCAGGGATACAGGAGGTGCAGTTTAACGTCGAGGTTTTGTTTTGTTTTTGTTTTTTTAGGCCTGGCCTTGTGTCAAAACCTTTAAACAGCCTTGCTATAGCTGGACTTGTTCAGACATGTTCCACGTACTTACTCCACTTTCAAACATGGACTCCCATATGTCCTACAGCACGTAAATGCATCAGATGTGGATGAAATAAAACACTGCTCTAGCTTTAGTTTTAATGACCGAGAGTTTCACAGTGACGCGCTCACGTAGCACCAGCTCCATCATTCGGAGGACATTAACGCTAGAAAGACAGCAGACGCTGGTTTAGGACGGTGTGTCCAAGCTGTTGTGTGCGCATCAGTCGCCCATCTGCTTACGATTCAGTTTACAAAAGGCTGCAGACGGGACAGACGGGCCTGTCCTGTAACTAATGTGAGGCGGCAGAAAGCTGTAGACATTTGTTAGGACATGCACAGGATCTAATTCCGGACGGACCCGATTAGCAGTAACACTCCAAGATTAAAAATCTTTGGCTTATGACTGCTGATTTTTGGTACTTTTTAATGGCAATCAGCTTTAAGCAGGTAGCAACCCGTTACTACTGCTGCCTTTATGGGACGTTGGTTAAGGAGACTTAACGATTTCTGTTGTTTTTTGTGTTTCCACACTACATCTGCATCTTCAGCAGTGGGGAAACACATTTAACAGTCTGTTTATCTTCATAAGGCGAGGAGGAAAAGAAGAAGCAGCCAAACGTGGTTGTGGTAAGTGTTGCTGTTGATACAGTGTGACCTTCTGGAGGACACGCATCATCACGTGTAGTGTGTGTAATAACCCTGTCATGTTACTGTACCGACACCATCATCGTGTGGGTGTTGAGTTTACAGCTGCTGTCTCACTTGTATTCACAAGCAACGCGCTAAATTCTAATTCGTCATAACAGAAGACAACATGTGTTTCTGTGATGCATCACACAGAGAGAGACGATGATTTAAAAGATGCAAGGTAACTAAAGGGGCTTTTATGTTAGGTACTGTCTACTCGCATGGTTGATGCTGGTCTAAGGCGACCATCCAGTACCTGTCCCACTTCACTTTTTATGCACCAACGAAAATAAAAAAATAAGTTGACCATTTGCTCCATCGTTCTCCTCTCCTGAAAGCTGCAGATCTCACTCAGTGTTTTGGTAGCCTTAGAATCGCCACGTGAACAGGCGACAAAAACACAGCGGATTTCGCAACGTCCACGCTCACGAACACGCGCCCAGCCCCTGCAACTCGGAGTGAGCAGGCTGCAGTGTTTACATGCCTCCTCCTTCTCCCTCTCCCCCTTCCTCCTCCTCCTCCTCCTCATCACTAGCATCCTTTTCATCCACCTCCTCCTATCGTGCATGGTGACACGACGACACACCTGATCGTTTCTGGGTGTTGGACCTCAGTCAGTGAAAAAAAATACTAAAGAAAAACAAGTATATAAATCAATTAATAAATACCCAAAGCACTGCATGTTTCGCAGATGTAGTCTTCAGACAGACGCGCGCCCTCAACGTCAGAACAACAAGGGTAAGACGAGGACAACCTATTATTTTGGGGGGATGTTATTGTTTTTGGTTGTCATTTGTTGCACAGTGTCACAGATGTGTCTCTGACATCTAACCAAAGCGGCAGCTGCGCGGAGGTGTTAGTGGTGGGTGGAGAAGGTGGTCAGGTTGCTGATATGTTTTGGGTTTGTTTTTATAGGCTGTAATAGAGATCAGTGTGGCCTCAACGCCTAAATGAATCCTCTAGGAATCTCATTGATCTGTTTCTAAATTTAACTGCTGTGGGCTGCTTTTGGTTTGGCGCAAAACCTTAGCAGTGGGCTGTGTATTGTGGTTGGGTTTTTTTAAAGGAGTTATTCTAAAGACACAACTGTTTAATATTCTTTCGAGTTTATTATGTTCGTTTTTACTCATGACCTTGCAGTTGTTTTGGTGTCGGGATCACATGAGGTCAGGGGATGTTTTTATTGCATTTTAACCTTGTAAAAAAAAATATTTTCATGTCATGAATTTAGACGAATACCCTTTAATGATACACAGATAAGTTATGACAAAGTCTTATTTTTATATCACGTAGTCATTTGTGTAAACATTCGAAGAAAAGACGTGATACATAAACACAACGTGTCATACCTGTACACAATAATTCGGTAAAGTTATCTAAAAAAACTCAAAGAAATGTGAAAGTTCAAATTTTTAAAAAAAATATTACACAGGTAAAGAACGGAATTCATATTCTTATCTTGTATTTATTTACACATCCGGGTATCCACGCTTTCCCTCCTTGTCTTGGTGGTGCGTTCAAACTACATGGGAAATCATTTAAACGGTACAATGCAGTACCAAAACTTGTGAGCTGTGTTTGTTCTGAATCCGAAATATTTAATTAAATTGTTGGTTGCAATAATTGTTACCGGAAGAAAATAACATAGACTGTCACACAAGGGTAAATTGACTTAATTGATTCTAGTTATACATTTATTTAAGGTGGTGTTGTGGGAAATACTTATAACTAAAGGCAAAGGCCAAGTTTAGAAATGTTAGTAAAGGTAAATGTTTACATTGACGTTATAATCTCTTATTGGTATTTAGGTAATTACAATTACAATAATACTATGTATGTAGTTTTACCTTTCATTTCAAGAAACAGCACCATATTCAGGCCACAGTAGAAAGTATACAATTGCCTTATATCTAAAAGAAAGCTACAGCAATAACCCAGTTTCCTGAAACAGTTAGGTATTGGCAATGCCTCCAGTGTCCCAGTTTGTCGTGCCAGGTTTATTCCAAGAGAGCTTTAAGAGAAGTTGAATGGCACACTGGTGAAACTCCTGTATGTTGTTGATCATAAACATATCTACATTTTTAATGTCATCATACAAAAACACAGTATTGACAAGCAAACCAATAACAATAACGCCTAGAACGGGGGTGCCCAAACTGTTCCACAAAGGGCTGCTGTGGCTGCAGGTTTTTGTTCCAACCAAGCAGTAGCACACCTGAGTTACCAGGTTTAATCAACTGGTCTCAGTCTTCAGACAGCTGATTGGTCAAACTATGTGCTCTTGGTTGGTTGGAACAAAAACCTGCAGCCACATGGCTCCTTTGGGGAACATGTTGGGCATACCTGGCCTTAAAGATATCGTAAACTTTGCCTTAATGTGAATTGGCCTCAAACCGATTTCCATCTTTTCCACGGGAGCATGAAGGCAGCATGCTCGCTGATTGCATATAACGGCTGTCAGTCATTGCTCCATTTCCCGCCCATTTGGTGACGTTCCTGTACCAAAGTAAGCAGTCCAGTCCATCACGCACACAAAAGACACAACAAAAGCTCGTGCAGGGAAAATTCAGACCCGTCAGCAGCCACAGGACACAATAAGTTCCCACCTGGCAGCATCACACATGGACCAGAGCCTAGGACGACGACACATATTAATTTAACTTTGAAAAAAAAACCTACTTATACCAGCCAGCAGTTTTCCTCTTCAAGCTGCGTTTTACTCAGAGCTCATCCAGGTGGTGAGTACTGCACGTCAACATTTCGCCCGTAAAAATAGAATTATTTCACGTATAAAGCAGCAGACACCGTGGTTCTGGTGTCGTGCTGGGTTCACGGACTGCCTCAGCCTCGGAATGAAAATAATTGGAAAGCAATTCAGCGACACTGTTGCACTTAACTGGCGTCGTGTTCTTTGTTGGACACTAAACACGTTTTAAGAAGAAGGTGACGAAAATAAAGGATTGTGTCAAGTTGTTAACCCTTCAAAATTCAAGAGTTGTTTATTTTAATGGATAAAAATGCTCACTCTCGGACTGTGATGACGCAAAAGCGCTGTTTTTGAGGGCTTAGACTGAGAGAGTCTTTTGTCTGGAGACTCTTCTTCCTGTTGTTGGTTACCACAGACGCACAATGTGCTCGGCTGTCTTTGTTTTCACGCTGCACACTTTGAATATCAGCTGTTTCTGTTTACCTGTTCAGCCTCACTTCATGTCGCCCCTGTGTACCCTCACGCGGGGCTTTTAATTGTCTTTATTGTTGTTTTTACATGCCACACGACAGTTAAAATGATAGTTTGACCAGTTGTGAGTGAAGCAGAAGGATGAGACAAAGGAGACACGAGTTCTGTAACGTCGAGTAGTCACGAAAAAAAACGGCTCTTAATTGACGACAATCAACGACTAACTGCACATGTTAAGGTCAGCTTTTTAACCATTTTGAGCGAAAAAAATAAAAGTTTTTCCGCTTTTTAATTTTTTTTAAATGAGCAGATGATTAGACGATGTCTACTTTGATCGAAAATAATGTATTTAATACAATTAATAATTAATTGTCAATTTACATTTGAAATAAAAATAAATTTGAAATAAAAAAATATTTGCAACTACATGTTGTTTACTAGATGACAAGTAAGCAAGTGAAGAAGAAAAAACTAAACTAGTTGTACCCCTGGTGTTGTTATTGTAGTATTTGAAGTATAATTCTGAATGCAAAACCGAAATAAATAATTAGTCATGCGAATAATTGGAAATCAGTCATAATGTAAAAAACAAAACAAAACGAAACACAGAACTAAACCCTAATTTGTCATCTTTTATACACATTTCACAACATTACCACAACAAAAGATGTGAGGGCAGTGTATGTGCGTGTGTCTCTTTGTGTATGTGTGTGTGGAGAGTTAATTTTACCAATGCTGATGATATATTATGACACACTTTTCAGTCGTCTGTGTGTCAGTGTTCCTTTAAAGAATAAGAATGGACCAAACACTGTTTTTTTTTTAGTTGAGCAGAGCATTTGTTTCTCGGTCTTTGGTTAGAGTGAGGATATTCAATGACAAGTGCATATTTGTTTTTGTAAAGTTGTGTGCGTCTGTGTGTTTGTGGAGCAGTCACACTTTACATCAGCAAGGTGGCTTCCTGTTGAATTGTGGAAGCTCCTTTGTTTTCATGTCTGGCTGATGGTTTCTGTGCGACTGCTGCTGTTCTTCCTGTTGCTGTGAGGAGACTCGGGTCTACAGAAAGACCAGCTCCAGACCCAAAGCCAAACACACTCTATTCTAGACTCAGTGACGGGCAGCTCCAGTTTACAGTGCACAACTGGAAAGTTCTAGAGCTGCTGTGGGCTTTGTGTGTTTTCTTTTGTTTGCACTCTGTTTTAGTGAAGATCCTTTGTCATGCGCTGTTGTCAGCGATGGTCACCGTCGACACTCTGGGAGATGCTGTACACAACAGACTGTACATTTGTTGTTAAGAGAGAGATAGTTAATTGACAATCTAGAAGCTTTTCATTTTTTCTGAATTTCTACAGCATTTTTCCTGAAATAAAAAAAAGTTTTTAACAATTTGATATTAATGAGAACAACACTTTTTTTTTCTTGAGTTGTAGTGGCTATTTCCACCATAGAAAGACAGAACATAAGGAATCTGCTTCATTTTAAGCAATATAATAATACTCAAAAAAGCGGCCACTAGCGAGTAAAAGCGGTACTGCGTGTCATATTCCACTTCAACTGTTGCCCCCTATGCTCTGAGACTGAAGGCTATTGGAGGAAGACAGAAACATAAGGCTACAGTCCTTCCCAGTGTTACACAGCTGTTACACGGTGTAATGTAGAGGTTAGAGCAGTGTGTTTTTAAAGTTCTAGGTGTCAAAACTATCTGGTTCAGTCTGGAGGTTCTGCAACAAGGCAGAGATTGAAAGAAAATGTGCGTGTTTAAAGTCAGCGTCACAGCCACAGATACACAACGTGACCAGAAGACAAAAAAAAAAATACAATAGCATACTTTTTTGCAGTTATTGACTGGGATTCAGCTACAGATACATAAAATGTATTATATAAATATAAATTAATAATTTATATTATAATATAAAATATTTAATCAAATAAATATGAATTAAATATGAATATCCTTTTTTTTGAGCATCAACATAGTGATAAGAAAGTGTAAATCTACAGAATTACACAACAGAATGTTTGGGTGCCTGAGTTTTGGCGATAGCCTCTGCAGGTCAGTAATGGTACTGCATGCACTGAATCAACAAAGTGAATCTCATTTTTGGTAATTTCCTGGAAGACGACATGATAAGCCAGTAGGTTTGTACAGTAAGTAACAGCAGTGACAGACGCTGTGTTTACAGAGAAAAGAGCTCCACGTCTCTGCTGTCTAACTTGAATCAACAGAAGCAACAAGATACCAGAGCAACCCTCATTATTTGACTGTCATTTGCCTGTGGCTGTTAAAGTCGACAGACACATCACTTAAGTAAACATAGCAAAACAACTATGTAATGATAACACCTCACTATCAAGTCTTTGGACCTGCTCCAGCCAAACACTGATCCAAACGTACAGTAAATGTTGATCTGTAGAGTTGGAAGGACTTGTTGAAGCAGTAAGCAAATAGATTTTTTATTTCTGTTAAAATTTTCAATAATTTAATAAAGAGACACCTGGTAGAGTGAGCAGTCAGCAAGCTTGCCTTATAGCTAGAACGTCACTGGTTTGATCCCCAGGCTTTATTTATGGAGTTTCAATGAGTCTATTATTTATATGTTCATATTTGTACCTGTTGGTGTTGTAGCTGATCTTAAAGTAAAACTATATGAAAGTCTGTATGTACAGTAAATGTAAAGTATTGTTAACTATACTGTGTCTTGTTCTGTCAATTTTAACATAAATGTCCTTCATTTATTCCATGTCCTGTACGGATTACTGTCATGTTGCACTGGAGGTTAAAAGTTTTTTGACACGGTGGATGAACCTGAGGCTGTAATCTGACATGCACTTTGTTTATATATAAGTAAACATTAAGTAAATATTTAGTTTGTCACTATCTGTAATCCTGGAGCTCAGGGAGTCCAACGACTCGCCTCCAATTATGGTCCTTGATGTCCGTTACACCATGAAGTCTGCTGTAAAAATCAAACTAAGGTCTTTAAATAAATGAGATGCTGCCTTTATTTTTCTGTAGTCTTATTTGTAAACTGCATTTTCTGGCAGTCTGCAGTCACACGTTGGGGCTTGACCACAAATAAGTCATTGATTTTCATCCATTTTGAGTAAAGTGCTTAAAAAGTTAGTAGAAAAGATGTAAAAGAAGTGTCGTAAGAAGTTCTCAGAAAGATTCAGAGGAGGAGTATCTTGGGTGGAACAGGTGATTAAATCTGTTTTTTAGATTTGTTATTGTTGATCTAAGGTGATTGATCTGTTTAAATAAAACTTTATCAAATCACACCAGAGGTAATTCTTGCGGTGCAATGTGAAGTATGAGGGTAACTATGAGGGGCGGGTGGAGTAAGTCTGAAAGGATCAGTCCTTGGTCCAAATAACCAGAGAGAACTGCTTGTACGTGAAATCACTTCTTGAAATATGTTTAGGACCTGGACATGTTCTGGAAGAATAATTTTGACACCTTTTTGGGTGAAGAATCCAAAGGTTGTCTTCTCTCCTCCCCAGAGAAGTCTGTTTTCTCTGAAACACTTTGCTGACACTGTTCTGTCAAGTTCCTCCTCTGAGTAGGTGTAGGGAGATGTTGCCAATGCTGGCATAGCAACCAGGAAGAGACCTTCATCCAGAGTTACTTAGTACAACATACAATGGAAATGCCTTCTTATTTGGAGGTGCCCTGTGATGGGTACAACTTTCCTATTCCCAAAATATCTTATACTTCCAGAAATATGGTGAACATTTATGATGTAATATTTTTTATTAATTTTTTAATTTAATTTAATTTTGTGTTTTAATTTTTTATTGTATTTATTTTTCAATTTTTTTCTTCAATTTTTAATTTTTTTTCAATTTATTTTTCAATTTATTTTTCAATTTTTCAAATTCATATTATAATAAAGATGAGTGTCACTCACCACGTTTACCGTTTTCTGTCATCTGCAGACTCGTTTTTCTCCCGTGGTGTCTGTGTGGAGCCTGCCACACACCCACTCCACAACAACGACGGCTTTGGCTTGCATTTTCCAGTGTTTCTTTTGTCAGCAAGTCCAGCAGAGCTGCAACTCTTCCAGTGCCAGCCCTGACACCAGCGAGGAGCCCTGCCCCATTGACATGGTGAAGATGACCAAGTCTAAGACCTTTCAGGCTTACCTGCCAAGCTGCCATCGCACCTACAGCTGCATCCACTGCCGGGCACATCTGGCCAATCATGACGAGCTCATCTCAAAGGTACGACACGCCCTACAACGAGTCCCTTTGTCCTTCCTGTCGAGGCTAATTTAAATATTGTTCCATAATCCCAGGTCTTTTGTCAGGTCAGATACATTATTTCCCAAGTGTAGTTTATGTGTGGACCTATCACAGGTATTCAAAACAGTTGAATTTATAGGTTATATAAAACATTTTAAGCCAAAAAGATGGATAAAATAAGTCCAGCAACAACAAGGCAGTATTTTTTTTCAAAAAGAAATTTAATTGAAAAAAAGAAAAGAATAGAAAAAACATTTTAAAAAGAAAACATTGAAAATAAATAAATATAATAAACAAAAAATACAATTATAATGAAAAATCTTTTACAAAATATTAACAGTCGGGTAGCTTACTAGAAACTAGGAGAAAAAAGGTCCAAACATACCTGAAAGTTAGCCTTACATTAACTGTTATGGTGTTAGCAAAAACATAAGGTAAAAATACATTTGGTGAAGATTTTTGAAAGGAGATCGAATGTGTCGCAGAAATTGATTAAAATGAGCCGAAAAACCAATATCTTTCAACGTGCAAAAATGATAAGTTCAGAAAGGCTTCAGGAAATAAAGTAAATAAGGAAATAATTATTTTAACTAGTTGTTATTCAATTCTTTAATTATTTTATTTATTTATTTTTTTTTTGCATTAGTTGATATTGTGACTGTAGACGTTAAGGGAATTTGTGCCAGTACTATAAAGTGACAAACCAGCAGGATTTACTGCTTTAGTTTCATAGTCATTTTCAAACAAACTCTCACTGTTTTATCAGACTTCATGCATGTTTTTATTCCAAACTCCTCTGCCTAACCTCAACACACCTAGCCTAGTCACACCTCTTTGGGTTACATTGGAGTCGCAGTAATAAAAGAAATTGACAGTGTCTTTGTAATATTTACCGACCAGTAAATCAACAAAGATAACTGTGACTTTTCATTCTTCTGAGCCTCAGCGCTGATGGAGTGCATCAGTGTCCTCTGCTGTTAGTGAAGCAAACGGTTGTGGAGTTGGACTGAAGCTGCTGTGGTTTTATCTCAAATTCACCTGTCTGTGAAGCTCATGTCTGGACTGATCCACCAGTAGGAATCCAGATTCACAGATACATCTGTAAAAGACAAAAAAAAAGCTCACCATTCCGCACAAAATGCGTTTCTTCCAAAGCTATTTTCTTCTGTTCCCGTGTATGAGTCTAATTTGAATCCTTCAGCATCTCTCCTAACCTGGTGAACTTTTAAAAAATGGAATCTATACTTGAGGCACTCAAGTCTGCCCCCTAACCACCATTGTCTGCGATCTCATTGAAAAGAGCATTTTACTTATTTCCACTTTTCTTTTGCCTGAAGTAGAGATAATAAACGACCCCTTTTAACTATAACAGAAACCAAACATGTTCATTTTAATTAATCAAAAACAAACCCTCACAACCTCAAGGCAAGACGTAAATAAAATGGGTTTTTTTTAGGAGGTGTTTCACAGACTTTCTTTCATTCAGCCGTGTGCACATTGATGTACAGAGATGACAAGTCGTCAGTGTTGTCACAGTAATGGATGTATTTGTGTGTGTGGCCTTGAATGTAACTAAGCAAAACTCGGCGTCCGCTGCACTCGACGTCCTGTTCCAAAATGCTCTACTTTGTAAACTTCACGCTCGTCTGGACTCGTAAAAATAAATGAGATATGTCAGTTATTTGATGAAGTGTTTATTTTACAGCCTCATCCAAAAAAAAAAAAAAGTTGTCTGCGAGCTGACGTGACTCTAGTCGACAAGTTTGAGGGCAGCGCTGCTCTGACTTTGAAAGATTTTCTTTTCTTTTTCTTTTTTCTTTTTTCATCAAACTAGTAATTCAAATGGAACATCTGAAAGGTCCTCCAACTGTGTCCCAGGTTATTGATTGGCAGGGAGTGCTATTTGTAAAAATGACTTCATTTGAACTACTTGTTTATTAATTATTATTAACATTAATATAACCCCTATATATGGAATGGAAATATTGAAACATTAGATTGCACTTATTTGTAAATGTATACAGATACAGGGGGCGCTATTTGTAAAAACTACTTCATTTTACCTAGTTATTAGTTATTGTTAATATTAAACATTTAAGTCAAGAGTCTGTGAGCAGGATGTCTTTATTAGCACAGCTCGTAGGATTTAGATATCGAACATTTTTGGTTGATTTATCCATTCATGTTATCTCGCACTCGCTTTGTTTTTCTTGTTCATTTTCACCACCTCTGAAGCGCTCTGGCACCTCCTGGGGGTGAAACGGTGATGTAGCACATTTTATACACTGGTAACCAAATGCTCTCGATGGAAAAACAAGTTAGTTGGTTCACTTCATTTGCATGTAGCATCAGAGCTAAATGCTACTTTGTCTTGTCTGGATTGAAACCTTGTCTCTTTCACTGGTTTCAACCTAAGGAAATTTCCCTCCTGTCAGATCAGGGCCTGGTCTGTCCAGCCAGTAACATACAGCATATCACCATAGCAAAGAAACAGAATAAATCCAATTTAATCTTATTAAGCAGTGGAGAAATGACTGTTAGTTAGTGTTGAACGTCCATGTTGTCCTAACACATAACCATGTTGACATCTGCACCAGAAACACTGCCAAAGTGCTGCTGTAACCATAAAACCTACAACTGCTGAGCCAAACAGTCCTTAAACTATCAGATGAACCAGAGCAGCAGCAGCTGACACCGTGACCTTTGATGAGATATAATAATACAGTGACAGCACGCTCCCCGGTGAGCTGCACTCTCCCCATGCTCTCCATCGATTATTCACATTGTATGGAGACAGATGATCAGGCTTTACATATGAGTAGTGGAGATTGGCAACCAACAACCATTCCATATATACACACACACATATATAAACACATACAATATACACATATACATACAGTATAAACACGTGTACATATATACATGTATGTATATATATATATGCACACATATACACACATATATATACATATATGTACATATATACAAACATATAGAGATTACAACCAACAAATATATATATTTGTAAATATTTATATATATTTGTTGAATGTAATTGCTCTCTCTATATATGTGTGTATATGTGTGCATATATATATATACATACATGTATATATGTACACGTGTTTATACTGTATGTATATGTGTATATTGTATGTGTTTATATATGTGTGTGTGTATGGAATGGAAATATTATTGAAACATTAGATTGCACTTTATTGTTTGTATATATATACACATATAGCAGTATATATGACCTTATGGTCACATCTCAAATAACTGTGTTAAAGTTTAACAATAAACAACTTATCCTATAATTATCACCCTGATATCACAGGAAAGTTTCACTTTCACTTTATTCCTTTATTCTTTGTTGCGTTGCCGTCCTCCACGTTGTATGTGTTGCAGTGTTCTTCTTGCTTTGATGTCATTGGCACATCTGTGTTTCCTGACATACACCCCCGCCCCCCAAATGGTAGTCCACATGGGGACGTAAATGCACAGGAAGTTGTGAAAGTGATGATGGTGACGGTGAATTCAGCTGACTGTAGCTGCAGTTTCAGCCAAACAGAGGTTGGTTGTTGAAAATGTCAGCTTGTAAATGAGTTTTTGAGGTTTTCCTCAAGACGATTCAGGCACAGCTGTGGTCTGGGGAGTGGGGTTTGGAAAATAGCTGTGGAGGAACACTTACATCACTGTTAAGTGACCTGTACGCCCGATGATGATGAGCTGCTCGCTGCTTCAAATGTCTGATTGTTGATGAGGCGTAGAAATGGCTGCCTCAAATACTTTGGATTTTGACTTTTTACTGCAGCTACTACAGTGACCTTAAATGGTGTTAGATTGACTCACAGTCATACTTTACACTGAGTCACATTCATTGACTAATACTATAGCTGGTAATGTGAGCACGGACCGACTGATGCAAGTGTCAAATCAGATAAGATGAGAAAGACTTTTTCAGCTCAAGTTTCAAGAGAAAGGAAAAGTTTTAAAAAGTGTGATTGTATTTTTTTTTTTTTTTTGTTCGAGTTGCGCCACATTTCCTTCAGAGGTGACACTAGAAATGCAAGATTGCTGGAGAACCAGTTGCAGCTGACAAACGAAACAGTTCCAATAGTGCACAGAAGTTATATGACGCGTTTTGGGGAATTCCCCTACCAGTGCCGGGAATTGAATCTCGGACTCGAGCAAGAACTATTGAAGGAAGTCTTTGTTGTTTGATTTGACCTGGCTACACCCACCTTGGCATTGCCGTTTTTTCCACTTGCCTCACGGGATTTTCTACAGGAACAGCGGTACAATACACTGAGTTTACTATGTCACCTGGGCTGCATTCATCAGTGTCGAGACAGACTTCAGAACAGAACAGGTTGCTGTGACTGTGAATTCCTGTTAGACTGCCTCTCTGAAAGGCATGTCACCTCTAACCCCTGACCTTTGACCTCTGAAAGGGCTGCAAAAACAAAAGCAAAAAAAAGAATTACTGACTTCAGCAGTCAAAGTTCTCAGCTGTAAAAACCCAGCAAACACTGCTTTTACTGAGTCAACTGTTGCCCGGGTTAAGCTGCTGCTGTGGGTGTCAGTGCTGTAAGGTGACTCCTGACAAATGACCCCTCATGTCCAAACAATCCATTTTAATAATAATTGGATTCTCAGAAGGCAGTTTCCACTGTTGGCCATTGGTTTTCCTGTAAACACGTCATAGTTGTTAGCTGTTGATGAAGTAGCTGTCCTTCATCTTGTCTGACAGGCGCTGACATGCCCATGTTGAGAAGCCAGATTGAGATGGTTTGGACATGTGCAGAGGAGGGACAGTGATCATTGGTAGAAGAATGTTAGAGATGGAGGCCAAAGAGGAGATATATGGATGCAGTGAGGGAGGACATGCAGATAGTTGGAGTCAGAGTAGAAGATACAGAGAACAGGGAGAGATGGAAATCAATGATTCACTGTGGCAACCCCTGAAAAAGGGA